GCCTCGCTGTGTCCAGGGGGGGCCTCCTGCGCCGCTTGAGCATTAAAGAAGGAATTCATCGGAAGCGGTGTTGGGGTTTTACAAGACTTTAAAACGTGTGAAACACAAGCTTTTGGGGCACGTCGCCCTGCAGAGGTGTTTTGATACATTGAGTTGTGCAGCAAAGCCCCAGGGGCCGGCAGGAGCCCCCCTGGAGCTGTGCATGGACCAAGCGGGTGCTGGGAGATGCAGGATGGGCAGGGAGATGCAGGATGGGCAGGGAGATGCAAACACCCATGGAAATGCAACCGAACACCCAGGTGCTGGGGCCGTATCTGGGGCCGCAGCCGCCAGGCTGTTGATCACGGTTGGCGCTTTGCCACAGGCCAGGGTTTCTTGTGTCCCAGCAAACAGCAAATTTGTCACCACTGCCTTGCAGAAAGCAATCGGTAGACGTGGGGCTTCATCCCCAGCGGAGGGTTCGCATGCAGGCACCCGCGGCTCGGCCCTGGCACCGTCACGGCCCACGCCGTGGCACAAGTATGGCTCGCCGCACGAGCTGCCGTTTGCTAGGGGTGGGGTTAGAAAAACCAGTCCCAGAAGGAATGCATGGAAGAATTGCTGAAATGGGATGAGAGACATTGATGGATGCAGGTAACTGTAGAAGGATCGCATGTGAGATACATCTTAAAGAAGAAAAAAAGGTCTTGGAATTCCCTGAAATGTCAATCCTTTTTCCTAGAAGGATAAAGAGCTGCCAACAAGAGCAAAGCCTGTCACGTTAGTGTATCCCACACAGTATATAAAGACCTCGCACTACATCTCATAAGAGGCTGTGGAGTACGGGCACGGTTCAGCCCAGCTCTGCCCGGAGCCGCGCTCCTGGGCCCGTGGTGCTGCACGCACGCAGCTCTCGTCTCGCCCCCCCTGCCCCCCCGTGGATCCAGTTCCTCCCGCCATGGCACGTGATAGTGCACGACCCTTGGGTTTATCCAGGATCTCGTTTTGTTTAACTGGACCCTTGCTAGAAAAGAACCTCGCCTGGAGAACCATTCCCTAGAGTAATCCGAGGTTCAAAAGGAAGGGACAAAGATTAAAATGTTGGCTTGAATAGTAAAAATAATGGCCATTTTGGGAGAGGATATAAATAGTGCTTATGAGGCTGCTGTTTACGGCTGTTAGATGATTCCAGTGCTTAATTCCTGTATAAATCAGTGTACCTGTACAAATTGCCTTTTAACTTGGCCTCCCTTGGGCCGTGGGGGTGGCCAGGCCCCCGCCTTCGCAGCCGTGGTGGTGAGACCTGCCTGCACCAAACGGACGGGGCAGGAAGCCCACGAGCCCTTGGTGCCACACGCTGTCCCCCGGGCGGGGGTGGCCTTGTCCTCCCGGGGGGAGCGGTGTCCCCGGGCAGGGCGCGGTGCCGGGATGGCGCCGTGGGGTGCCCGCGCTGACCCCCTCCGCTGTGCTTTGCCTAGCGGGGACCTGCAGGTGGTGGGCAGCGCCCACTGCACCTTCACCACCGCGCAGAAGGCCGTGGGGAAGGACAACTTCACCCTCATCCCCGAGGGGACCAACGGCATCGAGGAGCGGATGGCCATCGTTTGGGAGAAGTGCGTGGTAGGTGCTCCAGCAACGCCGCTTCCTTGCAAAGCCGGGGGGGGGG